GAAAGAGAGGTGTCTACCCGTGCTAGAATCATAGTCCAAGGGTATCGAAGGGAAGGCTGCTCTGTAAAGATTAGAAATGTTTGAGAAATTGTACTATTTTATTCAAATTGTAATTTATGATAAATAAATTGTGTAAAGGATTTTAAAGGTCGGATTTAGAATGTATGGTACTTAGGTCAATTTATTTCATTATCGTCTTTAGTAAAAATTCCAATTTTATATGTATTCGTAGTGAACTACGTGTTTTGTTAAGAATAAAGTTAAATTTTATCTAATTATCTCAAGTTTCAAAATTTTACCTTGGAATAATATGAAACTTTCATAAGAAGAAATTTGTAAATTTTGTTATTATATTACTATGGAGTTTGAGAGTGAAACTAAGTAAATTATTTTCTATTCGCATAAAAGTTTATTTATTTAAATAAAGAAAATGAAGGCGTTACACCCTCTCCCTCTTTTACCTTTTTATCTTTCTCTAGTTTATAAAAAAAATTAAAAATTTATTGTGAATTTGCCTAACTTATCCCGTTAGATAAATAATCTCATCTTAAAGTGACTAATAAAGTTAAGGCATTGTATTAAAAATTATATATACTTTTTTAAACAATGAAAAGAAATAAAAAAAAATAAAAAGCTAAACAAAAACTAGCAACGAACAAAGATAGCATTAGTCTTGTCAGTTGCTAACAATTCATAAAGATCCTACGAAGGAAGCTGCAAGTTCTGAAGGGATTCTTCTTGGTTCACTCCAAGTTTAGTCATTACGTCAGGATAATGATTTCCTTTACAAAAGATATGTAAAATTTTCATGTGTCACTATCTTGCTTTTAAAGCAAAAATGTCCATCAAGATAACCATGTACACATAAAAATTATGTTGCATTAAATTAACTAATCTATAAGCTTCCATAGAATCTGTTTCAACAATGACATCCCTAAAGTTTAGCTGCCAAACAACCATTAGGCCTATTTTGATCCCCGATAGCTCAGCAAAGAGAATGTCAGTATCACCAAGATGCTCTGAGAATCCATGTACCCAATCTCCATGTTGATTTCGTAATACTCCACCGTAACCCACACGCTTGGGATTTCGTCTGCAGCTTCCATCAACATTAACCTTAAGTTTGTTAGAAACGAGTTTAATCCAACCAATTTCCTGGGCTGCCTCACTTGGTGTTGAGTATGCAATCCAAAAACCAAAATCATGTCTTGCACAATGGTACCAATGAAGGATAAAATGCTATGAATATTCCAAGAATTATCTCCGAGATATCATTCCGCCAACGCCAAGACCACCACAAGGTAGCTAAGAAAGGGGATTAAAGTCCTTCCTTAGAAAGTGCTCACACCAAGTTTTCAGATAACTACAATTAAAATTTATCAAATTGGATAAACCAACACCGCTCCAAAGATGCTTAATAGAAGGATAGTCTCTGAGACAGTGCAATATATCTTCTATTTCACTTGTACACCTTGAGCACCCAGGGGAGGAAGCCAAATATCTAGCATGAAGGAAGGCCTTAGTTGGAAGAGTCCCATGCAAACAAAGCCAAACGAAGAAAACCATTTTGATTGGAGCTTTGATCCTCTAAATCCAACTCCATGAATCCATTGCAACCATAGCTGGGTGGTGATTCAACCACTTATACCCATTTGCGGCAATGTAAATCCCGAGCAATTATCTTTCCAAACTCAATAGTCGCTACAAGTACTAAAATAGAGGATAGAAATTTGAGAAATCTTATTTTGAAAATGTTATGGTAAGGTAGTGGCAATCCGTTGAAAATTTCACTTGTCATCCTCCCAAAGATCACATACTCTCAAGTCAAGGTCACTAATGTGTACATAATCAACCTTATGACAAAGCTTACTAATACCAATCCAATGGTCATACCAAAAAGATACATTACCCATGCCCATTCAAAACATAAAACCATCATTGAGATAATCTACCATTTTTAAAATTTCCTGCAAAACATAAGAACAGTTCCTCTGAGGACAAGATAGAAATATAGAGTTTCTACCTAAATATTTCGCAATCAACACTTCTAAACTCAACGTAGAAGGATGATTAAGAATATTCCAAACCAACTTTTCAAGAAGAGCCACATTAACTTTCCTGTTGTCTCTAATTTCTAAATCACCCAATTTTTTAGGCATCGTCACAATAGACTACTTAACAAAATGAATACCTCTAGATTTGTCATTTTTGCCTTAAAGAATTCCTCTAGTTAGCTTGTCAATATCAATATAGACAAATTCATGCAACCAAAGAAACTGCATAGTGTAAGTGGCCATAGAAGATACCACTGATTGTGCAAGACAAAGCTTGCCTGCTCTATTCAATAATTTGCTCTTCCAAGAGGGTAGCCTGGTAGAGATCTTCTCGACAATTGGATTAAAGGTAGCTCTCTTGACCTTTCCCTTTAAGATGGGTACTCTCAAATATTTACCTAAGTTTGAAACAAAGTGGATGGTAGAGAGACTGTAGATAGCTTCCTTTTTTTTCTCTTGCTAATATTGGAGGAGCACATAGCATGAGACTTATCTAGACTAACTTTCAAACCTGACATTTTACAAAACTCTCAAGAGTCTCTATCACAACTCAAACTTGAGACTTCCTAACTTTGCAGAATAATAAGACATCATCTGCGAAAAGAAGATGAAAGATAGTTGATCCTTGATTTGTCAGTATAATTCCTTGCCATCTATCATCTTCAATCTTCATTTAAACCATCCTGGCAAGCTTCTCTATACAAAGGACAAACAAATAAGGGGATAGCGTATCTCCCTAACGCAGATCTCTAGAAGGATGAAAACTATCTAACCTTAAACCATTCTAGAGAATAGACAAATTAGGAGTCACAACACAGGTCATAATGAGATTGACTATTACTTGAGGAAACTCAAAGTCTTGAAGAGTAGTCTTAAGAAAGTCCTAATCCACTCAATCATAAGCTTTCTCGAGATCACTTTTAAAAGCCATCACACCCTTTCTACTCCTCATTTTATTGATGGTATGGAAGATTTCCTCTACAATAATAATATTCTCAAATGTGACTCTATTGGGAATAAAATTGGCTTGAAGGGGTCTAATGACATCTTGAAGGAAGGGTCAAATTTTATTAAGCAAAACCTTTGTGATAATTTTGTATACCACATTAGAGAGGCTTATTGGTCTGAATTCCTTCATATAGGCCAAATGGTCTACTTTAGGAATAAGAACAATACGAGTTTTTGCTAGACGAGAGTCAATAATACCAAATGAAAAGGCATTTTGAACCACTTAATGAACATCTTTGTCAACAATTTTCCAATAATTTTTGAAGAAAACAAGTTAGAATTCATCAGGACCTGGAGTCTTGAAAGATCTCATTGAGAACATTGTCTGTTTGACCTCTTCCATTGTGACTGGCCTCAACAGAGAAATAGAGGTCTCATACTTTAATGTTGGCACAATAATGTTCCTGTAAAGGAAAAGATCAATAGCTTCTGTGTTGCAGAACAAATTCTTATAAAATCTTTGAGCTTCTACTTGAAGCATTTGTTCATCCGTACACCGGATTCCTCCCTCGAGATGAAGCCTATGAATCTTATTTCAACGTCTTCTAACAATAGTCTGGGTGTGAAAGAATTTCATGTTTCTATCACCAAATTCCACCTAATTCTCTATAGACTTCTGATACCATATAAGTTCTTCTTGAGTGAGAACCTTCTCATAATTCTGGCAAAGGGACTTCTCTAGAAGCTCAAGAGAAACAGAGTCCCAGGATTCAAGTTTCCTCTGGATATTATTAATACAAGCTTCTAAATCCTTTTTCTTCCTAAAAACATTTCCAAAAACTTCACTATTGAACTTCATTGAATCTTGTCGTATCTCATTTAAGCAATTAACAACATCCTATTCTCCTCTCATCCAGGCTTCCTTAACAATACTTGATTACTGGTCATGAGTCATCCAAGCTACTTGGAATTAGAACGGGCAACTACCCCTTAGCTAAGTAGACCCGCAATTGAGAAGGATTGGAGAATGGTCAAAATGAAGTCTTGGTAAGTTGGTAACAAATGCTTCAGGGAACTGGTTCCTCTATGAAACATCTTCAATAGTATAGTCAAGTCGTTTAGAAATTCTAAAAGCCCCCTGGTTAGCTCTAGACCAGGTATACCTCCCCCATAAGCATCTAGGTTTATCAATTGGCAATCATCAATAACTTCTGCAAACTCAGTAGCTCGGGATTGGATGAACACTTCACCCTTAGTTTTTGACAGCAAAAGAACTTCATTGAAGTCACCAAGAATGAGTCGTGGCCTATGAACCATACTGCGACGACTCTTTAAATAACACCAAAATTCTCTAGTAACAGAAGGAACAGGGTTGGCATATCCTGCAGAGCACACCCAACTCTTATTACCGCAAGAGATTTCAAACGAGAGACACTATCTATGACTCGCTAGAACTTTTGATGTAAACCTATAATTACTTGTCAAGACCCAAATACCACTTGAGTGTCCTTAAGCCTCTATGATGCCGACCGAAATGAAACCCAATTTGTTCCAAAACCTTTCAACTCTCGCGAACTTGGTGTGCGTCTCTAAAGCAATGAAGAAAGAAAGGTTATGATAACAGATAAGTTTCCTAACATGACGCTTACCCCTATTAAAAATTGCATTAACTATTTATTTAATTTTTTATAGAAAAAATATTGTTAGTCTAGTTAATATGAGATTATTTATAGCATGAGATAACTTAGACAAACTCATTTATTATAGAAGTTACATGTCTTTTGGTTAGATAGTTTCCCACAATTGAAAAGGCAAAGGGAAAGAAGATCAGGTAGGAATCAAACTGATAACATGAAATATGAACCTTGATAAAGACAACAATTGATAGCATATGAGGTAGTAGTGTTGGCACCACAAAATAGAGGGTGCCCTTGAGAAAATCACTTTTGGTCCACTATCTAAATGCAAAGACGCAGTGGCAATAGCTTCAAAATCTCCAACCAATCCATAAGGTTCAATAATGTGATGTACTATTTTGGTCCCCGCCTCTCCACCAAACCTGAACACCCTTCGTGCCCCAGAAAGGTTTCCGATCCCTCTGGCTAAGGGCATCTCTCTTTTCAGCCGCCCAATTAATTACCAACACGTGGCTTTTTCATAATCACATCCTGTCACTACTACGTGAAACAATATGAATGTTCAACCATGCAAACGGAGCCACGTTGCATTGCATTTTGAGATTATTATGGTAATTTCAATTTTTACTCCAGATCAATGTTGGATTTTAATTTGTTTCATTCACTCGTGCAAATTCTAAATCAGTTTGCGTATTATAATTGTAATCAAATTTTATATTCCTTACAAGTTTAAATTGTCAACGGATATGGAGGGACAGTGATGAAACTAAACTTCGTACTATAGTCTCTATAGTTCAGTAAGTTTTATCTTGAAACTATCATGGGGGACCATAGGGGTCAAGTTTCCTTGAAATCAAAACACTGGAATCCGAGACAAATCTTCAAGTTTCGAAATGTTACAGTAATAGGACCATTCAATAGAGTTCCAAAACAAAATAATCAGTTATGATAACATTTATTTTATTACTAACGCTTACACGATCAGATTAATTAATGGTACTAAGCTGTGCCACCATTTACAATAGCATAAACATGATGTTACTTGGAAGAAGGGACCAATAGAACGGATCCTCGCTATAAAACAGGAGGTTGGGTTGTGTTAAGGAGGAGGGATCAAAATCAAGGTTGTGGTGGCAAGGAATATCTAAAAATATTATATATGAATAAAGGAAGATTTTATCATATAATAATATCGTCTTTGATTCTATTCGTTTCTCCAAAATCTTGTAGGTAGACCATGCATAGGGACTGGGAATGGGCTGTATTGAATTCCTCTCTGATATCCCACTACTTCCCACCTGCCAACCAAATAATTTAACACAGTTAATCCACACTCTTGATGATGATATGATAGTGCATACGTAAATAAAATTAAACATGAATAGAAAAAGTCTAAACTATTTCATAAAGTAAATAGTTCCCACTTAAGTGAACTAATAAAGTTAAAACATTGTTTTTAATATTATATTAATTTTTTTTGTAAATAAATCATTACTTCACTTTAAATGAGGTCATTTCTCCTACGGAATAACCTAAACAAACTCGAAAATAAAATGCCATATCATATAATTTGACAATATGAAGTTGAGATTTACCTATATTTGGTTACTAGATGGTGAATTAAAATCAGCATGTTCAACTTGGCAAGTTCATTTCCTGGACAAGAGTGCACTCCGTGGCCAAATGGCATAAAAGTGTTGGGTTTTGGAGCAACCTGCAGCCATCCAGAGTTGAAATATATATATTAAGAAGAATATATAGTATATCGCTTTATCTAATTTTTTTTAAAAAAAATATATTTGTTTGACTAAGTTGTGAACAAATTGATGTTCAGCATAGCGTACCTCAAACCTTGATGGGTCAAAATTGTGAGGAGCAGAGTGGAATTCTGGATTATGATGGATGTTCCTGAACAGTGGCATTACTTTCCAACCCTTTGGTATAAGATATCCTTAACAGTTGCACGAAAGAACATTTTAGAAATCATGTAAGAAATAGTAAAAGCTTCTGCAAATTAAACTTCCCATAACTGTACAAGTAGAAAAGAATATTCCATCTCAAAATTCTTACCTTTGTACACTACATCAACCACAGCTTCCCTAAAAGTAAATGATATGATACTTGCCATCCTCAGGCTTTCCAATATCACCTGCAATTCAAGATCCCGCATAAGAAATATTTATATTCACAAAGTTGCTTCCAAATTAAATAAAGACTTAGAAATTGCTCTGCATCATATTTACCGCAGTATATATATTCATACCCTATAAGTAATTGGCATATTTTTTGTTTGACCCCATGTCAATGACATCTTCCCTCCCTCATTGGCTTCATATACTGCCATTTGCTCTGCCTGCAAAACAGTTTCATTGACCCATTAATTAGCATAACTTTTCAACACTTGTGGCCTACATGGATTTGGAAAATCTTTTTTGGAGAAAAAAAAACAATTCTTACTTTTATTGCTTCAAGAAGTTTCTGGTCATCATGAAGATACTTGAGAATCCATGTTAGAACACTTGCTGTAGTATCCTGAGCTGCAAATAGTACCCCAATAACATTATCTGCAATTTGGTCATCCGTTAGCATTTGTCCTTTTTCATCCTTGTAGTTCAGCAAGTGGCCTAATAGATCCTTCTCCATCAATCTCTGCTCCTTTCTCTTACAAATTATCTCACTTATAATCTCCCTGATTCTTTTCCTTGCCTTTAAGTCATTTCAAAAAATATTCATTAGTCAAGAAAAATGACACAACTAATCTGATCCCAAGTATCAAATAATTTTCTTAGACTATTAGTTGGAAACCATATAATATAAAAGAAGTGCTGCACTGAAACTTACCAAGAGTGCTTTGGAGTATGCAGTCCCAGGTATCCTGTTTGGGAAAGAATTGTACCCTTTCTCTACTATGCAATAGTTTTCCTTAAGCTGATCTGTATAATTGCCTTGCAAGTGTCCAAAGACAGAGAGGATGCCAATATTGAAAGAGAACTGTGAAGAGTCAAGGGAAGCCCATGAGTCGTAAAATCATGACCAAAACAATAATAGAGGACCCAGTGACAAGAAAATTAATGAGGAACCAACAAATGAAAACAAAATTCAACGCCATGCAATAAAAGTATCGAATAAGACAACAGATTGCATCTCGTAGCTCATTGATTATTGTGTAACAGAGAAAGAAGACCCCTCCAAGCAAAATGGGGTTCACACAATAGAAACAAATCATATCATATCAATTATGAAATACACAAGCAGCTATAAGACCCATGAACCAACCTTTTTCATTTCTTGGAAAGCGTTGATGACTTGTCCAGCAGAAACCCACGATTCCAAGGAGGAAATGACCTCGGTTTCGATGTCGGGAATCAGTTTTCGGATGGTTTCAGGAGAAAGCGAGGTTTGCACCAGCTTCCTAATGCGGGTGTGGTAATCTCCTTGGTGAAAGAATAATGCAGAAGGGCCTATTAGCTTCTCTTTGCTTTTGGGGTATGTAGGCTTGAACAAGTGAGCATGAGTCACTAGCACAAACCGTGCAGCCTCAGGACTTGCCAACATCACGCATGGACATCCTAGTATGTGTGTTTTAAAAATTTCTCCATATCTGATTAAGAACATTATAATTTGTACAATTACAAGTTAGCACCACCACCACCACCATGTTTAATTAAGCTCCATGCAAAAGAAAATAAAGCTTTATTACCCCCAAAAATATTTAATGTAAAAAAAAATTAAAAATATGATCATAAATTCATGAGGATCAAAGTAATTAAGAACCTTTTTTGCTTTGAAGCAAAGAAGATGTTAGGGTCTTGAGAATAGAGTTGAAGAGTCTCTCCTATATAAAGCCAACCCATTGAGCCTGGGGGAAGTTTAGGCTTAGCTATGCGTTGGGGTTTATTGTGTTTCTTTATTAATGGGTACGAAACAAGAGTTGAGAAAAAGAGGAAAATGCAAAGCAAAATAGAAATAGTATCCATACACACAGTCGTAGTGGCTTCTCTCTAACTCGCTCTATGAGATATCCTGGAGGTGGGGATTATAAGGGTATATGATATGATGATGACTAGAATTCGCTTCGCTTGCTATGTTGGGTATTGAAGTCAATGAATGATGTTAGCTTATATAGAGGCAGCAACACGGTTGGGGGGCACCGGCCTTCATCTAACTCAACAAATTTTAAGTACAAATCTCTACCATCATTATTCCAGTATTTCATATTTTACACAAAACATTCAGTTCTACTGTATACAATACTGCGGAGGAAAAAAAGATTATGATAAAGATATCATTTATCGCGTTAGAAAAAAACATCACATATATTGATCAAAATATGTGACACCCATCCGGTGGTAGCTTACTTAAAGCTACACCTCAGCTCCATAGTGAAAAACCAATTCAAAATTTAGAATTTATAACCTATAAATCACAAGAAGCTTCAAAGTATTTAGTTTAAAAAAAGTTGAAACTTTATAAATTGGTTGAATTAAGTTGTTTGATAAAATTAGCCATATAACTTGTTGAAAGTATTAAATGAATAAAAGTAAGTATAGTATTATTTTTTTTGTCGAAGTATAAATTATTTAAGAGACTAAAAATAAATAAAAAATGTTATAAATTAAATTTCAATAAGTTGAATTTTTTTTAAAATTTTTTGTAAACTAACTTTTTAAAACTCTACATTCACTTCTTTTTCACTGAATAATGTTACTAGCTTATTGACAAAAAAAAAATAGTAAGTTACAAACCAGTATTATCAAACAAGATATTATTTTTTAAAAAAGTTTAATTAATACTTTTTGAAAGTTTATTTATATATAAAATTAAGACTTCAAGTTTACATTAAATAGATGAGATTATTACTATTATTGTTGTTTATGTTTTTCAGTCTATTTAAAGGTTTTAGTTCATTAACTTGCATAAAAATTTATTGAAGAATATATTCTTAAATAAGTTTTCTAGTTATATTAATTTTTTAAAAGTGAAGTTAAACTTTTAAAAAAAAATCCTATATCAAATAAATGCTGTCAAATTCAGTTATTAAATTTGAGAAATAGACTAAATTCAAGCATTGTAAACCTCTTTAACTCTTAAGGTCATAAAATAAAAGATAGGAGAAATATTCGTTTTCTTTAATTAAATTTATAAAATAAGAGAAAATCTGAAGTAACAATATTTTAAAGGAGTAATATTCTGAATGGTACGAAAAATTTTGACGAAAACTGTGTACGAAAACTGTACTGTGATTTCCGTAAAAAACCTGAGATGTATTTATTAACAAAGTAGTGTGTTCTTTATAACTGATAAAAATTAACGACGTAGATTCGTGATAAATTAGTGTAAAACTTTTCTTACTATAAAGCATAACTCATTTTAAATTTAAATACCCATACGGATATTTTTTATCTGTAACGTTATATGATCAGCTTAAAAATATAGGTATTCCATATGCGTGCGATTGGTAAATTTCAGTATTTTGAAACAGTTTTAAGCTGAAGAATAAAATGAAGATTTTCTTTTGTCATGGCATAAATTTCATTTAAAAGATTTAGATCCACTCCATTTCTGATAGGATACCTATACATTTTATTTAATGATAAAAATATATTACTAATATTTATCTAATCTAATTAAAACGCGTGTATAAAGTTAATTGGCTTTGTGTGAGAGTTTGGCGATTCGGAACTTCTAAACTGGATTTTGACATTTGCATTTGACACAGTTTCGTTTTAATTTAGAAAAATAGGGATCGTTCTATTTTATTGGCCCGCGGGACCTATGTGGGGTCCAATTATTTAAGTTGAAAAGGTTTTATATATATATATATATATATATATATAGGCATGATTATCAATATAATATTTCTTATTGTAAAATATACAATCCTCTTACCTGAAAAATGAGTATGAATTACGTTGTAATAGTCTTTTCCATTATCTTTTAATAATAAATATGAATGTATCTTTTACTGATATTTACCACTCTTTTTTATAACTTTTAATCCTACAAACATCAAAATTTGAATAATTATTATTTTTAATATTTTGGGAAGTATAATGAGAATTCACTTTTTTGTTATTAATTTTAAATTTTAATTTAGTTTTATTTATTTATTAAATTGATAAATTTAATAGTAAATGTTCAATACTAATTTTCAATCATATTAAGGATCATAAAAAGAGAATGATTTTTTAAAAAAAATTATTTACAATATATCTATGTACCAAACATCTCTAATACCCTTTATTTTAGTGGTGATTTGCAATATTTACTCACAAAAGAAAAAATAATTAAAAAGAGCTTTATGTCTTTCTGAAGTAATTCATCGTTCAATTACTAAGTAAAAGATATATATATTTTTAACTTAATTATATTTTTGGTCCTTGTAAAGTTAATATATTTTGTGATAAGTCCCTATAAAATTTTTTGTTAGGATTTAATCTTTAAAAAGTTAAGAAGTTAAGATTTAATTCTTGTCATTAACTTCCATCTATTAAGTGTTGAGTTAACAGATGGAAAACTAACTCAGCACTATCACGTAGCATACCACGTCATTTATTTTATAATATTTTATTATTTAAAATAAATATTTATAAAAAAAAAATCTTAAGCATATTTTAAATATTTGCAGGTGGAGGTTAAGGGTAGGGTGAAAGGGTTAAAGGTGTTGGGTTCATGTGTACAATTCATGAAAAATCACCAACAATTCCATATAAAAAGACAATTGAATTATACATTATATTGCACACAAGAAAGAATGTAGCATAAAGTAAGTCTCATTGTCTAAGTTATCCAAGCTTTCTCATGGTGCCAACTTTATATACAAAAGGAGGTCATGGTAAATGTTTTGAAACAACCCATTGAAATGTTAAATAAAAACAAAATATAGAATTGTTGCCAAATGAGATAAGCATGGGGGAGGAAAAAGGGATGGAGTTAGAGCTGGGTGTGAGGTGGGCAGCGAAGAAGGTGGAGTAGAGAAGAAGATAGACCTTTCTGTAAATATATTAAATATGTTTAGGAACTATTTTGCAAATATTTATTTTAATTGATAAAATATAAAATAAACGATATGACATGCCATGAGGTAATGTTAAACTAACTTTCTTTTTGCTAGTTCAGCACTTAATGGAGACAAGTTGACAGTAGAGACTAAATCTTAACTTAACTTTTCAAAGACTAAATCTTAACAAAAGATTTTATAGAGACTTGTTGCAAGTGTACTAATTTTACAAGGACCAAAAACATATATTCTTCATGGGCACAATGTTGTTGTTGTTAGGTTGATCATTTATAAATGTTATTTAAAATTTAAAAATATATTACATGTTAAAATAAAATAAAATAATATTAATTAATTTTGTTTTAATATAAAATTTTATAAAATTAATTTATTTGATAATAATTTTTAAATTAATTATTTTTATATTTTTAAAAAGCTGTTAAATAATATAAATATCTAAGTCTAAAAATAATTAATTTAATTATATTTTTTAAATATAAATTTTATTTTAAAAATACTTATGATATTAAATGATATAATTGATTTAATCATTACCTTGTAAACATATATTTAATAATAAAAATATATAAAAATTAATAATTAATATATTTTAAACATATTATATATTATTTATAATAAAAAATACTTAATTTTATTTCTTATATAAAAAAAATTAAAAATAACTAATGATATCTTTAACTTTTTTCTCACTTGCTTCCTCAACTCTTGTCAAAGGTGAAAGAGATTATTTGTGATTAAAAAAAATTAGAAAATCATAATATATTTAAAAGAAGGCATAAATTTACTAGAATATTAATATTATTATTTCAACTATCAAAAATTAATATTTATATTATTATCATTATTTTAATCTTTTACTCATTATTATTGGTATTATTATAAAAGGACATCTAAAAATATCATCACCAATAATTAAAAAAACATTTCCTATCTAATTTTTCAGATCACTCTTTCCACTATATTAACTACGATCACATCATTTTTTGTGTAATAGCTTTTCATTTTGTTTTTTCAGAATCTCGGGATACTACCTCAAGTGTGAAAGTAAAGACCCCTACAAACTATATTTTTCCAACCACACAAATTTCGTGAGAATGCCAATTCTAAATCTACTACCACATGCTTAAAGAATGAGTCCTTTTCATCTGAATTAACATACGATAGTGTATGTTTAAACTAAATTTTTTTTTTCTCAACAAAATGATCGTTTCTTATTAATTTTTTTCACAAATTTTAAAAAAATATTATCTCAAAATAAGTTAAATTAACATTTGATCTGGAATTCAACTTTCCAATGAATAAATAATTATATTAAACATCTAAACACAGTTTTACTACTCACAGTAATCTTATTTTTTTCAGAAAGGATTATTTCTGGTAAATTATACACATTGATTATGTCAAAATAAGTTAAATTAAAATTATCTTAATCTTATTTATGTAAAAGTTTTTTTTTTTTTTTTTTACATTTCTACTCAATTTATATATTTGAGACAAAATTATATTTAAACACAACACAATTATACTTTTGTTGAAAATGTTATTAACACATTTCAGATTATACAACGAGCCCAAATTGAAATTTGGAGCATGAAATTTATAATCTCTTGATTAGCTCAGTTAAACCATGAAGTAGCGTAACTTAATTTGATTATGCAGTTAAACCAAGGAGTAGTGAAACCCTGGCACAGAAACTTGAGAATCATTCCAAATCCTAATTAATTTATTTACATAATTTTCAATTTTTCTTTTCTCTTGACCAACTTAATTGTTTTTCCAAATTTCTATTTTTTTTTCTTATATAGGAATATATTGTATCTTGACACAAATTTGAAAGTAAACAAAATTGACTTTATTATTTCTCTATTTTATGATTGTCTTCAATCATTGATATTACTATATCATACTATTTTTAATTTTACGAATAAATCTGCTAAAAGGAATGTGTATTTCTGTTCCGTTTTGTTGAGAGAGATAATACATGTATTTATACATATCATACGCAAAAACAACTTCTATGCCTGCCAAAAACAGCAACTAGCTAAAAAAGGAAAAAAACATATTTCAATACAGATATCAGTTCCTAAGATTATGCTAACAATATGCTAATAGCTAATAAAGGATCAATTACAATCAATCTAAATTATACATCATTGATCTCTTGCAAATACGGCTGGATATGCTTCATATGTGGAC